GAATAGTGGGATTGACCGTCACATTATAACGCCCCCACGGCTGAAAGGGCGAGCATGTTTGGTGTGACGGGGATTCGAACCCGCGACCCTCAGATTGCGAGTCGAGTGCCTTAACCACCTGGCCATGCCGGGCAATTTTAGCCTTGTAAATCGTAAGCGTATCACTGACTCGTGAAAAAACACATTTTTGGAAAATGCGAAGTATTCATTAACGACAAAAGACACATTTTAAGAACTTGTTTTCAATAATGTTGTTCATATTATTGTGAACATCTGAAATACAACCAACTCTTTAGGTATATATATATATAAGTGTGGTAAAGGCCTATGGTAAAGTCTGAAGCGTTAAAGTAGTAATAAATACATTTCGGTTTAATGAAGGTAGTACTTTCTATAAATATTCAGAAAACATTTCGATGTATAGACCGCGAAATATAGTAGATTGTTTCCGTATTCGATCATTTTAATAAAACAGTCGTAAATATATTTATAGAATAAATAAATAATAGTTCAAATGTCTATCCAACTTAGGACATATTAGTTTGCTTCTATAAAAGAAACTGAATACAACTTTGTTTTAACCGCTCGCCATGTTAATCTGTAACCAGCTTTGCTTGTATCTTTTACGAATATTGATATAGGAGCAATCATTAATGAATTTTGGTCCGGACATGACCAAGTGGCTAAAGTACCGGATTTTGGATCAGAACGTCCATTTTTCGATATGGTGCTGAACAAGCCCCGTTCTTTCAGCCGGGGTGGGGTGGACGTGTGTGTTTGGTGTAAAGACAACAGTCAATCCCACTATAGGTTAAGAACAGCTGCACAAGCTTTGGATGCTACCGGCTGGAGCATTCCCACTGGTCAACATTTCTAGGTTAGAGATAGTTATGCCTAAACCCTAGAAGTGTCTAACCTAGTCATTCAGCCCATGTGTCCTATAAGGTGTCATTCAGGTTGAAAGCATCTAATGGACACCTAATTTGCCAAGTTTTCAAAACACTTAATATCATTGAAATCTTTCGTAGAATACAATGTTCTGCCAAAATAATACTCGTTGCAATATCTATAAGAAATCTGGCACAAAATTATAGAAAAACTATGTAAATGGTAAGTGAGAATCAATTACCTTGTTCCTTCTTCATTAAACATATCTGCTTGAAGAATTCCTACTGGGATACCTGAAAACAAGATTTGGAATTCACAATTGTTCAGGATAAACTAAACATCTAAATCTCTTTATCGGATAGACAATTTATTTCAGGAGCTGAGCTAAATCTCTTTATCAGATAGACAATTTATTTCAGGAGCTGAGCAGTATTAAATTAGATAGTCATTAATGAAGGATACAGATTGAACTTTCTTCCAAAATAAAGTTGAGTTATAAGCAAATACGTGTACATCTCCACGTATTACCAATACAAATTAATCACGTGGCACGTGTATTAATACAGGACATCTGCAAATAATTGTGATATTTTCACTTAGTTAACACTTACACGAAGGCAAAGTACACATGGTTTACGCACCAATCTCCGCGCGAACTCTTTCGACCTTAATGTAATGCTGTAAACACCTTTGCCATTTCTCAAACAGTTCGATCCTACTAAACACCGAAAAAGAAACCTGTTTCAGACAGAATTAATCAAACATAATTCCACTGATTTGTTTATTATCTTATAACTTATTAACTAAATATATATAAATAAGAATTATGTTTTATCAATTCTAAATTTGACTTCTCTTCTTTTAGTGTATTTTGAGGCATGGAATAAATTATTTAGGTTATAAACATATCCTTTTTCATGTCGCGATCTTCTTTTCGGTGCCAAAATAATTCAGATATTACTTCATTTTGTTCAATTATCAAATATTTGTAAGTATATTAAAGTAGATACTGTATTTTTTTTTACATTTAACTTGTTTTAATTCAGAACATTTTATCTTAAGCCTACTGCTTATGCAAAAATATTTCTTTTTTGGTGTTTATTATAACCCAAACAGCTGACCTACACACGTTCTGAAATTCTATAATAATTTTCTTGATACAATTCTTATGATAAGCAAGTGTAGCTGGACGTTGGGTGTAAACGTAGATTTTATGAGTCCCCACAGCTAACAGTCAAGCAGTTTTAAGTCATAGAACAGGATGTTCGGGGTAACAGACCCGCACGACTCGGAAGGACATTGTTAATGTCCTCACGAACACAAAATATAAACTGGAGTGGTGCTCCATCTTGGTGGAAGGAATATGTGCGAATAACGTCATATTGTTATCAAATGCCAAAAGAAAATAGTTTTCCAGTAGATTCGGGTTTTGAGTCAAGTGATACAGCAACAGGGAGTCTTGACTTATGCTTGGGGCACACGGATTATGTATACTAGAACTACTTACGTCATCGAATTGCTGGGACACATTAACCCTGTATAATGAAGTTACTTACGTTGTCGCATAGTTAGGACACACATATCCTTATAACGAACTGTTATAATTGTCATCGAATTGTTGGGACACATCAATCCTGTATAATGAAGTTACTTACGTTGTCGCATAGTTAGAACACATATATCCTTATAACGAACTGTTATAATTGTCATCGAATTGTTGGGACACATCAATCCTGTAAAATTAAAATGCTTACGTTGTCGCATAGTTAGAACACACATATCCTTATAACGTACAAATACACGATGCAGCTCACTTGACGGTATCTAGCCTATTGTGAGCTTTATGAAACTGTACAAGTACACGATGCAACTCGATGATATATAACCTACTGTAAGCTTTATGAAACTCTACAAATAAAACTATCGTATAACTGACTCTGTTAAAACAGGTGCAACTGTTTTTGTTTTGCGTTTATCTAAAACTATCGTATATCTGACTCATTGTACATACGTTCATACATGTATAACTTGTCACTTTTGATCTGAACCAAGATTCAAGATCTTGTCAACGTGGAATTCATGTCTGTTATTTTCAATGTAACACTAACTCCAAACGATAAAATGAACAATGCAACGACGTAAGCAGTTCCAGTATGAAGGATATGTTTGTCTCAGCAATTCGATGACAGTTATAACAGTTCAGTTTCATAAAGCTCACAATAGGCTAGATGCCATCAAGTGAGCTCTGAAGAAGGCGACAGTTGCCATGGAAAAAACTACATTTGTGTTTTTAAAACTAATATTCCCTGATTTCTCAGAATTTCATTGTAGAGAGAAGCTAAATAATGGTTAAATAGCTGTCAAGTAACAAAGAAGTTAAGTAATTATTATATGATGTTCTTTCATGCAAAGAAATAATTATATTATGAAAATGTGATATATATTTGAAACAAATACCACGAATTTCATTCATATTAAAATATCCCTTTAACATAAGTCCCTGTAAGTATTCCAAAGATCAGCTTACGATTATGGTATTGGTTAATGAGAAAGGTTACTATCTCGAGACTTTACACACCTCCAAGATGTAGTGCATTTCCTCAGAAGAGGTAAATGTTGCACAAACAAAGAAATGTGAGTGAAAACCATTATTGAAAGTCCTGACTTCTTACCGTACTGGGGGAATTAAGAAAATGCCATAAATAAAATCTGCACTGAAACTTAATTTTTATCACGCTTGTTTAGCCTAATGTAAAATAATTCTTATGATCTAAGGTATAAACTTCTAAAAAAAGAAGTGATTTATGGGAATAAAAAATCCAATAAAGTGTTCAGATTACTTACCTTGTGAATACTAAATTCTGGTGTTCAAATACTTTCACCCAGGTATATTTTGTGGACTTATTTTCGTATATCTTACATAAAATATTAAAATCGTTTTACTCATAAGACTATTTGAGTTGTTAAAATACGTCCACTGAAGTACAATATTGTTACGACAGCGAGGGTCACGTGACCCTAGTAACACGTCATATTCTCGAACGTTCACATCCCTTCCTGAAGTCTCGGGAGTTTACTAGATTTCGGTATTCTTGTACATATAAGAAGGTCAAGACGTGACGGCAACAATGTGTGTGTAACTGACAGTTGAGTCGAGCACGTGAGACGTTCGTTGTGAATTATAGCGTTCGTTATAGCGCGACTGTGGAAATTAAGTGTATTGTAAAGTTGTATTCAGAAAGAATAAACCAGTTTTATTTAAGAGAGGGCTTGTATCGCTAAAGTTTCATCGGAAAGAAATTATACGGGAAGTTAACTAACGAACTGATGTCATTCACGCTTATTAAATCTATGTCAACATTTTAGCAATTGACGTAATCATGCCTCTAAATGTTGTGCTAACTATTACAGACATTTGTCAATCTAATGTCGTTTTGAATATTTTAGTTACAGATATCTAATTGACATTTGTAAACTTTCACACTGATATCTTACTTCAGATCCATGCTATACAACTTGGAAGATTGAATCACTTTACGAAACATTGGTGTAGATTACAAAGTAGCTGTTTATTAGGCCTAAAACTGTTGTTTTCGAGTGTGATTAGGTAAAAGACAGTCGTATGTCGTGAGGCCAAAACATCCTGTAGGACAAACTGTGTGTTATTAAAAGGAGTGGTACTTTAGATATTTCCACTTTCTGTAGCTCGGACTTTGGTAATCCAAACTAATACATATTTTTATTGGATGTGTTCTACTGGACCCTTACATCACATACCAAATTTCAAGGTAATCTATTAAGAAATACACTAGATATAAAACATCCAATTCTTCACACCAAAAGCACGGAAACTTTATTTGATAGAAAGACATACTTACTCTTATGGATATATTTTTTAAATTCGTTACACTGATAGATCTTTTCTTTAGGTGTGAAATTTGGTCTAAATATAAGCCACATGTGCAAAGTTATATTGGTCTAAAAATTTTCCTACAGCTTCATCTAAGAGTAAAGGTGACCGTTTTTAGTTTTTTGTCATTCCGATTAAAGACGGCGGATTTACAGCAGCAAAACTATGGGGTGAAAGCACTGCAGATATATAAGTATTGGTTAGACCAAGCAAACTTGATTGCCAGTTTCTAGCTCAAGTTTTCAAAAGAATCATACAGGTAGATGGTTATTATTCATTGTCAACTTTAAAGCATAAATTTTATGAAATTCTTCTAATTAAAGAACCTTTAGCGTCACGTGATATTAACTTAAGAAATTAGCGTACATAATGATGCTTGATATGACTGTACCGAGTGCAGGGGGTGATGACAAGAAACTGTTAACCTAAATTCCATGGCGTTACTATAAAGAAAGTTACTAAACACTGTTTTAGAGAGGAAAACGACCACCATATATATTTTAAAGAATCTGGTTGGTTCTGTAAAGTATAGGTCTGTTCTGAATAACAGAGTTGCGATCCTAAAGCTAATGTTGGTTACTATCGAGTGTTGCTTTCTTACTTGCTGTGGTGTATTGGTGTGTATTGACAAAAAGATAATGATATCTAATCAAAAACACCTTAGGTGTGAAAAAAAGGTGCAGCCAAGAAAGGATTGAGCGTGCGACTTAAAGGAATGAAATCAAAATTGGCGGCCAAACTGAGAGCTATACTTATAGCATCGATAAGAATTTTACAACAAATATTCATTCATTAGTTAGCTAGGATGCGTATTATATTTTACCTACCATCATGCCCCGGGTTCAACAACAACAAATTGATATCATTCGTTCAAGTCGCACGCTCAGTCTTTATTTTTCCTGGCCGCACATTTTGTCACACCTAATGTGTTTTTGATTAGATTAGAATAGCTAAGGCAGTTACTTGTTGTATTTTCTTTGAATTCATTATATGTCATAACTTCTTTATTTTATTTGTAACGCTCGCAACGTAAGTTGGAGAATAGTAGACATTTTCAGTTTAGGCTTTTGTAGTATGCACACGATGATAATAGAAACGTTATACTTATTTCTATTTATTAACAAGCACTTCTTTATTTTACTTCAATTTTTATATAAACAAAATAAAGAAATGTAGTAAAATTACTTACTAATAGAGTTTTCCTGGACAGAATAATAAGCATTAGCGACGAGTATATAAACAAAATAAAGAAATGTAGTAAAATTACTTACTAATAGAGTTTTCCTGGACAGAATAATAAGCATTAGCGACGAGTAAATTTCTTCCCTGTGATTCTAGACTGATGAAAACAAGGTAGATTAATTACCAAAGACGTTTAGTGGTAATCATAACAAGTACACGCTTCAAAAATTGATTTCAAACCACATTAAACTCTAGAATGTGCTTTGTTTTGACATTGTTAAATTGTTGCCACAAGTTATGAAGTATACGATAAATCATACACTAAGTGTGCAATTGACCATTCGTTTGACAAGTACTAGGGGGGATTACCTGAAATAAATTATGTCATAGGTCTGGTTGGTTTAAACTGTAGGTGAAATTACCCCAATTACATTTTAAAATCAGTACACACCAGTCCACGAGAAATCGTCTGTCTACTTTAGACATCCATGCACATCATTCTACTGTGAATCATTTGTACACTTTAGACATCCATGCACATCATTCTACTGTGAATCATTTGTACACTTTAGACATCCATGCACATCATTCTACCGTGAATCATTTGTACAATTTAGACATCCATGCACATCATTCTACTGTGAATCATTTGTACACTTTAGACATCCATGCACATCATTCTACTGTGAATCATTTGTACACTTTAGACATCCATGCACATCATTCTACTGTGAATCATTTGTACACTTTAGACATCCATGCACATCATTCTACTGTGAATCATTTGTATACTTTAAACATCCATGCACATCAGCCTGCGATAAAACATCTGTAAAATTCAGACATCCATGCATATCAGTCAACAATAAATTTCTGTACACTTTAGACATCCATGCACATCAGCATACGATAAATTTCTGTACACTTTAGACATCTTTATAAATCAGCCTACGATAAATTATCTGTACACTTTAGACATTCTTGCACATCATTCTACGATAAATCATCTGTACACTTTAGACATTCTTGCACATCGTTCTACGATAAATCATCTTTATATTTTAGATATCCATGCACATCAGCTTACTATAAATCATCTGTATACCTTAGACATCAATGCATATCAGCCTACGATAAATCATCTGTACACTTTAGACATTCTTGCACATCGTTCTACGATAAATCATCTTTATATTTTAGATATCCATGGACATCAGTCTGCGATAAATCATCTTTATATTTTAGATATCCATGGACATCAGCCTACGATAAATCATCTGTACAATTTCGACATCTTTATGAATCATTCTTCGATAAATCACTAAGGAGATTTAGACTGTGCGCGCAAATCAGTCTGAAATAAATCATTTCTTAAAAAAAAAAATACTTTTAGATACTCAACTATTACGCTTCGTTTCCCGATTTTCATAAGTTTGTATGTTTGTTGAATTTCGCACAAAGCAATCGAAAGATTCCTGTGCTAGCCGTCCCTAATTTTGAAGTGATAGACTAGTGGGTTGGTAGTTAGTCAAAATTAGTCAACGCCCTTCTCTTAGGCTAGTATTCACCAATGAATAGTAGAATTGATTGTTACATTATAATATTCCCACGGTTGAAAAGAGAAGCATATTCGACGACGGATTTCGGTCACGCAACCCACAGATTGCGAATCAAACGCTGTAACCACCAGGTCATGCCAGGATGACGTCATTAAGATCAG